TGGGATAGATAATAAAATAATGAATAAATAAAAAAAATAATTAAGTATGTTCATTACATGTTCCATATCTTAGTCAATATAATTCCTACTTGACTATCATTATTTTTGTTATCTTGCATATTTATCATTATCATTCATATAATTTGTATATTTATTATTATTTCCCTAGACTTGCTTAAAAGTCTTGTTGTTGTTTTTTTTAACTTTCATTACAATACGAAAAAGTTTGCTGGAAGGTACAATAAGTGTTGTGTTCAATTGTGCAGAATACAGCTTATGAATATTAACAGCAACTCAAATTTCGCAAGGAAGAGATTTTTTTTTCGAGATCACTTACGAACACTGTACTATTTTTTATGTTAGCCACTTTTCCTCTTTTTTATTGCCAAGAAAACAATAAGTCTTGAAAGCAAGTCTAGTATTTTCCACATAATTTGCATATTAATTATTATCTTCCAAGAAATTTGCATATTTATTAGTGTAACTATATGCAGGTTAATTGAACAATAAAACAAAAATATTCGAGTAGGCCAATACATCATTGCTGTAGTTTTCAACTCGAGATGTTTTGTGCCTAGAGCACAGAATGCTATCAAGAAATATTTTGAGATAATAAATAAATTATAAATGAAAGTTTAATTATCTTTGGTTCTATGTTTCTCAGTTTAAAATGATCACTTATACAAGGTCAAAGTAAATTCGCTATGATAACATTATTATTAAGGCATAATACCTACATAGGCAGTGCATGTTGTCATGGGGAAACAAAAATGTTCCAGAATTATTGTAGAAATTTCTTACTCATTGAAAACAGAAATAAATGTAAAAAAAAATTGTATTTTGACTGTCATCACATGCATTTACAGTAACTAAAACATTCCATGCAATTATTAATAAAAAGTAGATGAACCAAGAACACAAAAATAAAATCAAGTCAGAATTTGTTCATTTTCTTAGAAGTCATAATTTTTTCAAGTTTTTATAGAAATTTTCAAAAATTGGCAAACTATTTAAGCCTGGCTATAATGCAGAACAAAGAAATGTATTACATGTGAAATTTTAAATTAAAAATTTCTCTCTACTGATAGATCAAAATAACAAAGTATATTATAGAAAGTGAGTTTGTTATTTACAATGTATTCAAAATTACATGTATGTGCATGACTTTAAGAACCAAACTGCTGATGCGCAACCAAACATTATTGTTCATCTACCAACATTCATAATTGGTAGCACATTCAGGCTTTCAAGAAAAATGTTAATTTTGAGCCATGCCACTAGAGGGCAGCATAATCACAATGAAGATACCTGAGAAACAAAAGTTATTTACATGTACTGTGATTCAGATGCTTACTGGACATCAAAATGTTCTGATTTTGTTCAATCAATTCAGACACAAGTGTTTTCATTTAAATTTACGGTTTTACACTTAAAATATGGAAAACATTTGAAAATGTTCAATGATACAAGTTGCCACTGGAAAAAAATGTCCAAGGTACTTTTAAACCAACTGAACCTTTGCATGTACTGTATAGAGCATAGGATACACAAAGACAGTACAGCAGTTTGTTTTCCACCATTACCATATTATGTTCTATTTGTAGCATGCATGCTTATAATTATAAAGCGAATTACATAGGTGATTCTATGGACAAAATAAGTCATATTTTAATAATTAATTACACAACAACGCAATATGGGATTCATACATATGTGCTTTACCTGTGATGCACTACTAATAGAGCAAATATGGTAAGTGTAAAAAAAAAAAACGAAAGTCAGTGATCATAGTAATCACAGCAGAATTTGTTAAGAAGAAAACTGCCTAGTCTCAATGATATTTAAACATATACATGTACATGTACACTACTAGTTGAGCAAACACGGTACTGATAAAACCAATTGTTGTAACTATGTTTTGTGCAATAACCACTGTGCTAACAATGGTGTGTCTGAATGTCGATATTTCTATTCTGTATTTGTGTACGAGTTTATGATTTTTCTAGCAAAATTTTGGTGCAAAAGATTGCATTTTAATTTTAATAATTAATTTCTTTGTTCATATTGGACAAAATGCTCATGTATGTACTCTCCCACTCGCTATACTTTTTCATCAAATTTGTGAAATTATGTAGATTTAATGTGACAAAAGTTGAATAATAATGACTTCCAGGATACAACCAGCATGGCGCTACCGTCACAGTAACATTGCTACTGAAGAGCTCAAATTTGACAGTAGTCCAAGGCACACAGACTGCCAAAATCATGTCCTGGGGATACCATTCTTCAAAATTAGTAACACACCTCAACTTGCGAAATATTAGTACTTAATTTTTGAAATAAATCAATTATGGATGTCCTACGCAAATTGAGCAATATGACATGTATTTATTTAAATTATTACTATTCACACTTTTATGCATGGCTCTAAGTACCTTGAAAACCAGATGGACTAAAACTAGTAGCCTGATAGTCATTATCCTGACTGCCACTAACATTCATATGCATTAAAAGTTTTTGTATGTGAATAAGTGCGTTTTAATGAATATGTTAATCATCAAAATTGTTGTTTCGAATAATTATGCAAATCATATGAAAATGTTATGAAAGTAAATTTGTACTATCACAATGGTTTAAATTTCTAGGGAGAGCACTGGATTAATCAATTTATTAGTCAGCCAAGGTGCAAATAACAAATGACTGCGGTGATCATAGTTACTGTGATTACAAATAAACCAAATGCCTGTGTCTAGGCATCATTAGTATGTTTACCAGTTAAATCTGGACATTGAGACTTTTCACTGTACACTAATACCATGGTCACTCAGATGTGTTAGAAATAATTTTGAAATTAGTTTGACAGAAGTAAAAGTATAATGTATTTAACTGATATATCTGTGTTTCTAACTGGAAAGTGTTAATTATTCCATGGTTTTTATTTGTTCCTTATCGCTGAATTAAAAAATCAAGTAATATCCATGCAGCAACAAATGAGCTCAAATGAAACCCAGGAAACATTACTCATATCAAATACCACAAAGTTATTGTATTTAGCTACAAGCTGTAAATAGGTCCTGCTGATGAAGGCGATGTGGTGGAGCAATGTTGTTTCAGGAAATCTCTGTTTTGACACAATTATTTAACTAAAAATAATTGTCAGGATGACATACATGTCTGTAGTATGAAAATGTTGTTGATATATATGAAGGGACAAATATAGAGGGGTTTATTAGGTTTTTAAATGAATCCCATACAATCTGAAGATTTTTATAATTTTGTATATGATTTTCTGGTTTACTTAGTACTTTTCTTTTCACAAACCAGGTAAAATAAAATTATATATAAAGAGAGTATTAGTAGTAGTACATGTTTATGTATGGGAATGTTGAAATAATTGTTTTAATATTTGATCTTTCGTAGAAATGATTTAAAATAAAAATGTTATCGTTATGGAGAAAAGCTTGCAGTATTCATTTAAATAAATAATGTGAAAACACACATGCACTCAAGATTTACTTTATCCGTTCAGGTGACGCAAAGCACATGTACACATATACAATGTTTGCTCTTTTACTATTAAGGTAACATATGTGATGACATAAATGATTGTGGTCATAATCAGTCATATTTAAATAATTCATTAAACAGACCTGCGCTTGTAATACAGCAAATACAGTAAATCAGTATTTTCATTATTGCATTGAAATAATAATGCTATATGTATTAATTACTGTAAAATATGTATTGGAAGCCGCAGCTTCTATTAAAATGGTACAATTAAAACAGAATGGATGCGGTTTCTATTAGAGTATCTACACATATGAGAAATGATGAATTTTTGGTTCTCAATTATTCAAAAAGAATGGGTGCAACTTGTATTAGGGATGCAGCTTCTAATACAGATTTTACAGTACTCATGTAAACATGTTTTCAAACAAAAATAATTTGAGATTACTACAGGACAATTTCTGTGATATTAGTTGTATTTATGAGAAATATTGGAATAGTTACAACATTACGTTCCACATGTGATAATGTAGTAGTTTGCGCTGTTCAATTTTTAAGTCCCACAAACTTCCATGATTTGTGTTTGATTATTTGCTCTCTGTCAACTGTGGAACGTCAGCTTAGACATGCCAAGTATACAAATTATACAGTTGCTGACCTGTTGTCATGAACGCACCATGGTTGTTAGTGTGTGTAGTTAATACAAATAATTTAGGACACACAGCAAAATATTTTGCCAATTACAAGATCTGATTTAACCATAGGGTGAAATGAACCGCACCCTCCATATGATATAATAATTAAAAATATTCAAATTATGTCCACATTACCTTTTAAGACAAATTAAATGCATTGCTGAGGTACAGAGATGTGTCGTTTTATTTATTTTGAATAAGGTAAACCTTGTTTGCGGCATTTGGGATTTAGTGTTAGGGACAATCAGAAGACATGCATTGGAATGCAGTAAGGGCACTCAGTCTATTATGGCGGCATTACCATTAGAGTTACTAATAGGCACCAACACAATCAGTCTACTTGTAGAGTTCGGGAAAACTGGGTGGTTATGCATGACGGTAAAAAAAAAATATTTCCATGATTTACCAAAAAATACATTGAACTTGAAGTTACTTACAAGACATATCAGTCTTTCATTTGAACCAAATTTATGTTAATGAACAAGAACTTAAACTGTGATAAATATTGTATTATCGGTTTATTTAAAACATGAGCTTCTTTAAACTGTTGCCATGGTGAACGGTTGTTAAATTCACTTACGGGCGGTGCATCGGCATAAACAAGCGCCAGAAAGGAGCGAAACGAGCGCGGTCTGTTTTGAAACATGAACGAGCGTAAACGCTATCACAGTGTCCACTAGGTGTGTTTTTTTTAAAAGACATGATACAACAAGATCGTCTTTCCCAGTTAACCGTGACAACATTGTGTTATTCGAGACAGTATCTGGGTCATTCTCAAACAACACGCTTTCAACCTACCTTCTCTGATTCGTAAAAGATCATCGAAGTATTTCGCGGAGAACGAGTAAATATTATCCGGTTGTGTCCTCAAAACTTCCCGTGCTAAGCCTTCCAAGAGGTTCTGAAATCCCCTAGGAACTCGCAATTTGGTGTTTGAAAATGGGACTGACATCTTGAATTGTCTGTTCTCGTCTTCAGCGGGCAGTAACTATGAAAAATGTTGATTTGTATGTCACAGAATATCGGCTTTCCCACTATACAGCACAGAATGGAGATTTCTAAAGATGGCCAACGTTTACATCGGTGTTTCCTAACGACAACTCATGAATATTCATGAGTGGTAAATAATTGATTGATCCGGCGCAGTGACAGCGCCGCCTATTGCCAATGATGCAAAATACCGGAACTCATCCAATTGACTGGCCATGTTATTCTTCTGTACGCTTTATTCTATTTATTGAAATACATACAACTTACCAATAGAAATTTATCGTTTAATTTTTCAACGATAAATTCTTTTTAATTGAGATGCAATTTTGTTAAGCAGTTGTGAGTATTTTGCTTGTTTGATTTTGACGATCATAGAAATATCCTGTGCGTGCAGCGTTGACAACATTGTTTAGCATAAACGCTGTCATCAGATTGTATTTAAACGTTAGGTTGAGTCAGTGGTAACCCCGATTTACTCGTTATATTTACATGCATGTCGTATGCTATTAACAATTACTGTACGAATGGCTAGTGCAACCTTAGAGGGCGGGGTGTATGTCAGGACCGTGGAGTGTATCCGGGGGGGGGGTACTTGCAAAAAATACTGACAGAGGTGTGTAGCTGGTTGTTTGAAACCCCTACCCCCCTATCAGACAGAAATAAACTCAAATTGCATACCCCTTTTCAAACAAACTGTGTATATTTGACACCTCTTTCCAGAAGCATAAATGGTACCAAGGGAAAAGCAGGTGAACTCCCGGGGATGGACTTTGACACAATCGAAATGAAGTTACAGAAAGCAAAAATCAGCTTCATTCTTCTGATTGTTGGATCACTCAAGCTCTAGACAGTCTTTGGAAAATACGGACCCCTTTTTTGACAACAATAATGAAAAAAAGGATACCCCTTTTTAGACAGACAGGGTGAAATAACATACCCCTTTTCAGACAGAAGTGGTGAATTTGGGACCCCAACTTGTACAGTATTAGGGGATTGTGGGAGGCTACCCTTATTTTGTTACCATGTTAAACGATGTGTGAAATATTGGTTAAAAATTACTAGCATGGATGAAAACAGATTACCCCAGAAAGCTTACCGGATGCTACTTTCACTGGACGAAAAAGGACAAAGGTCATGGGCCACAGAAATTAAAGAACTGCTACATAAATATGGATTTGGTTATGTCTGGTTTAATCAAGGGGTGGGGGACTCTGATATGTTCTTGTATAAAGTTTGTGAAAGGGTCAAAGATACTGGAATTACAGATTGGTATATAGACGTTTGTTCTGTCGAAAAAACGCAGTATTATTGGCAATACAAAACAAATTTTGGGATTGAAAACTATGTGTCATTGCCACAATTAAAATTGCGCAGAGCAATAGCAAGATTAAGATGTGCGTGCCATCCCTTAGAAATAGAAAGAGGCAGACATAATAATATCCCTAGGGAGAGCCGTATTTGTCTTTTGTGCCTGCAAGAAATTGATGATGAATATCATTTTTTACTAAAATGCACTGCATGGGACACAATCAGGAAAAAGTATCTTCCAAATGAGACACAACCCCCAAATTTGAATACTCTAGTACAACTATTAAGTTCCTCTAAAAGCCAAATCATTAACTCTTTGGCTCTATTTATTTATAAGTGTTTTTTAATCAAAGATCAAATGAGAATAACCTAATAAGCTTGTATGTATATATATATATTAATATCCCCATCACATTATTATATAGGGCTTATATTATGTATTGACACACTCTTCGTCTATATTTTCATACATATTTTGTAATGTAAATTTATTTCTTGTCAATAATTAATTTGGATGATTGTAATGGGCCGGAGGCCATTATACAATTAATAAAATTATTATTATATTATTATAATGAAAAAAAGGATACCCCTTTTTAGACAGACAGGGTGAAATAACATACCCCTTTTCAGACAGAAGTGGTGAATTTGGGACCCCTTTTGGCGGCACATACTGATACATATAACACTTTTATGTGAGTACCCCCCCCCCCGAGTGTATCACTATTATGTTTTTGCTCAGTTGAGTTCAATAATAGAAATAAAGAGAGATAGTTGGTGATGGAGAATACTGAGAATCTCGACTCCTAGCTCCTAGCTCTACTCTGAGCCGACATTGAACTGAAACTATCTGGTTGTGGTAGTTATTGGAATGAACGAGCCTTGAAGCTGTTATCTATCCCCGAGATATATTTCCTGTATTAGAGATGTTGTTAAAGGCTGGCGTGCATACAACGCGTGTAAAATACACTGTTTGTTTACATGAAATTCCAAAACACGATGCGCGACGAACATCGACCTTTAATTATAACACTGATTCATTTAATACATGTACTCTTTCTTTTACTAATTCATCCCTGAATTAGTTAGCTGTGGTGTTACCCTCATTCTCAGAACGGATCCACCACACCATACAATGGGGAGGGGGTGTTTTACGCTCAGATTTGCACTTTTCCTATCAACTTGAAGGAGAGCAAATATTTTGACCTCTACGTTTACGATTCCCATACTTCTTTAAATTTATTGTTTAACTACGTTAATTTCTTTACCTTTATATAAAAACATTGCTTGATTTAAGTTCATGTTTTGACAGTTTATTGTGTTCAAAACCATACATGACTTTTCAATGTTTTTTGTTTGTTTTTTTAAATGGGAGAAATAGCACTTTGGCATTAATTTTATGTGGTGTCATATTTATTTTGCTGAAAAGAATGTTTTTGTTTTTTTTTTGGTGAAAACATGTTTTTCTCTGCTTTAAACAAAAGCATACAACAAACAGAATATTGAAACACATAATATTAATCGAAACTTCAAACCAGGGCCTTGCTAAATATATCTATAGGTTTGGTGGTTTCACTGACGTAAGCCCTACTTTCAATTTGGAAGTCGGCATTTCTCTTGCCAATAAACTACTAGTATCTCGCTACCTTAAAATAATAATTATAATTAAGAACAAAACAAAATGTGAACACAGTGAAACAAAAGAACTCAAGATAATAAACATTGCAAAATTTGAATATACAAGTTAAAATTGACGTGTTACATGTGTATGCAGCGTCTTTGAATTTACCATATACACACAATGTATTTACACGTGTTGTATACGCCATATACGACCCTTATCGAACGCAAAGCATAGCGACTGCTATTGATATAGGGAAGAATGAAGATCGCAAGAAATATATTTCGTGATAAATTCACCACGACATTTCAAAAACTACAAATTTTGAAATGTCTTTCAGTGGATAACTTATCATACATGTATTCCCTGATTATCTTCTAATTATATCAAACATTCAACAATATACTGGCAAAGTCGGGGATATGTTTCATCTTTAAATAGGCGTGACTACGAAATTTGATCTCAAAATATTTCGTTCTCATTGTGTATGCGTGCAATTTCGTATAATCTATGCCTATGAAATGTTTTCAGTTTCTTTTTTATTTTATTCACTACTACACAATGATGTACATCTGCACTAGAGATACATATTCATTCTAAGTAATGACTATATATTTTTTGTGACAGAACCCTAAGATCAATGAACCATTTATTATACTAATATTACTCACTATATGAGGATTAGTTTACTGCATTTATCAACCGTTTTAAACAACTTGAATATTATTTTTATGAATGCCCCTTTACAGATTATGTTCAGCCACAAACTTGTTATATACATTTTTAGAGCTCGTGAAAATACATGTAGATACAAACATTTAAATTCAGTTCTCTACAAAATGTCTATAGAATAGACACATGAGTTAACTCACTTTGAATTTTTGGAACTACAACAACGGGACGAATTATTCTATTTTCAAGTAAAAGTAAATCACGCAATGTGTGTCAACCCGACATTTAAAAACAAACAAATTAGGAATATAATTTGACTGAACGTAAACCTGACTTAGATCATGCATCTTTGTAAACTACTTGCATATTGTATGGCACTGAATTACGGATACCACGTGACAAACGCGAAAATGAGTGCATAATTTACTCCATTTTTCACTTATTGCGATTTTATTGTGATAAACGACATATGAACATCGGCAAGAAAAGTGAGAACAGCTGCTCCATCATCATGATGTCTTAACAGACACGGATCATGGTGGTTTACCTCCATGCACGGATTTATTTGAACTTGCGGAAATAGTGACACGTCGCATGTACTAGTATGTGAGATCATCAACTAACTATCTACTTCCCTGTCGAAAATTTCTTAATTACGCTAATCTTTATCCTTATTAGCGAAGCGTTTATTGAACAATGCGATGATTTGCAACTATTACCAAATATTGAGCTTATCTCTTAGACAACAAAGTCGAATAATTTCCCGCTTGGACGACGCATCAACAAGTATATGACCATTTGAACGTCAACATATTTTTTACAGAATGTATACTGACTTTGGGACTTTTCGCTACAATAGGTACATAAACTGAAAAATATTCGATCCGTCTGAATCTATGTATACAAAGAAGAGCAAATACAACAGAGGAGCTCGGAGGCATGAATTTAAGCCACATTTGATGAACAGATTGAACACAAGTGATGAAACACATGGAATGAGTTGAATCATATGCGATAAGTTTTTTTATTATTATTTTAATGATCGCTGGCTTATAAATAAACATAAGATAATACAAGAAAAATAAATACATAAACGATTCATTTAGTACCCGAAAAAAATCCCAAAGCTTGTGTAAATTCGGTAACTGAGCTCCTAAGAACTAGTACGTTTTTTTAGACAAAATGGTCAAAAGAAAATATTTTGTATTTAGTCTTAGGTCGGTCATCCCGGTTAGTCACATGAGAACGCGAGTTGTTGTGATCACGTGTTCCTAGCGGGAGGACGCTCGATTCGTAACCGTGTTCCAACTCACATTCGTAAGTCGATTCGTCCCATAAGTTTATTAGTCCCAAAGTTGTAAAATATAAATGCCTTGATTTTTTTTTTGTTTTTTAGGCCTTACTCTAATCGTGGAGTATATGTACAACATCTCATCATTTTTACTTTAATGAGTATTCCTTAATATCTAAGTTAATACAGACA